TAAACATGAGCCCCTCCATGAACTTGGCATCTCTGGTGGTGAAGACGGTGTTGGATTTCGGGTCCCACATGAGCCAGCCCTTGCTCCCCCGTGCAAGACCCAAATGAACAGCCCACACTGCCGTCGCTTGAAGCTTGTCACGCTTCTCCTTAGGGAGATGCACAAGCCCCATGCACCCGAAGACACGAAGCATATCAACCAGGAGCTTCTTGCCACTCCACTTCTCCATAGGGACCCAGTGCTGACCTCCCACATGAGTCAACACCCGTTTCCTTGATGACGGTAGCATGACAAATAGCGAGGGGTCAGAACCACAAGGGTAGACCCGAGTCCACCAATATCGTTCTCCCGCCCTCTATGATGGTCCGGTTTGCTCTCTCTGCCACACCGTTGGACTGAGGGGTATAGGCCGTGGTGAGCTGCTGCTTGATGCTGTGCCGCTTCAACCAGCTCCGGAACTCCGCTCCCAAAAACTCCCCACCACGGTCGCTACGAATCGCCTTCACCTGCTTGCCGCTCTCTCGCTCCACCATGGGCAGCCACTCTTCAATGATGACCCTTGCAGCATCACTCTTCTTTGGAAGCGGAAAACACCAGGTGAGCCTTGTGTAATCATCCACCATAGTCATGGAATACAGGGCCCCACCATCTCCCTTTACCTTCATGGGCCCCATAAGATCCACATGCACGAGCTCCACCGGGTCACTTGACTGCCCCACCGCCCAATGGAAGGGAAACCGTGAGAACTTGCTGGTCAAGCAAGTCTCACAAGAGCCCACCTCCTTGGGCTCCCCCTTTATCCTCAGCCCCTTGAATCTTTCCTCCTTAAACAGCTGCTGTAACTGAGGCAGCGCCATGTGGCCAAAACGACGGTGTGCGGTGAGCCAATCCGTCTCACCCGTGCCAGGAGTTACACTTGGTAGTGCACCCCCCCCATGCACAAGCAGCCCACCATCACTGCCATCACCACCTCCTCCACTGGTTACGTGGCTTGCATGCCCTCCGCTTACAGCTTCAGCAGCCAAGTGCGCATCCGCCTCCTTCCATGGCAGCACCGGTATCTCCCACATGGACCGGTGCATGTCCTTGCCGCCTCGGAGGTCCCACAACACGCGCCCATCCAGAGTTGCCTTGAACACCTTTGTGCCCATCATCTCCATCTTCATCCCTGCCTCACTCAATGCCTTGGTAGAGAGAAGGTTGGCACATAGTCCAGGGACAAGAAGAACACACTTCAGCCCCACAAGCCTCCCATCCGCACCCATAAACATGGCTCTCCCCTCGCCACGCACGGGTACAACTTGGCCGGTGGCTGAAACAACGGTGGTTGCCTTTGATGGCCTGACTTCATCCAGCAGATCCTCTCCGTTGGTCACGGTCATGAAGGCTCCTGTGTCGATGACCCAATGGGAGGAACGGTGAAGAGCAACCTTGCTGGCCGGTACAACCATGTCCTCGGAGCATGCCTCTCCTACATGGTAGAACATGCCGCCATGTCCGCCAGCACCTCCATCGCCCTCCTCACTGCCCATGCCTTGTCCCATAGCTCCATAAACACCCTTAGAGCCTTCAATTGATGGCTGACTAGGCCTCCAACCGTCAGGTAGCTTGCGACACTTAAACCATGGGTGACCTTCCACATGGCAATACCAACACTTGCCGCCACACCGCTTGTCTCCCTTGTTGCTACGCTTCCCTCCCGAGTTCTGCTCCCCTCCAGAGCCTTCCTTGGCCTTGCCTTTCTTGCTTCCACGCCCCTTGAAGCCTTTCATGCCGTAGGCAGAGCCTCCACCTTCACCGGCAGCGGCAGTCAGCTCCTTCCTCCGAAACTCCTCCTGAAGGACTTGAGAACGGATCCACTCAAGGGACCATGAGTCCTTCATGCCATTGAGGTTGACCACCAAGGGGCCCCACGACTCCGGCAGCAGGGAGAGATCCTTGTAGCACTTGATCTTCTCAGGGTAGTCCACACCAGCAGCTGAGAGCTTCACATAGAGGTCTCGGAGTTGATCGAACGCTCCTTGCACGGCATCACCCTCGTTTATCTTCACAGCATGGAGTTGTCGCTCGAGCACCACCACCATCGCTTCGCTGCTGGGGGCATGGACATCCTTCAATATTTTCCATGCCTTGGGACCACACTGGATATCCTTGATGAGATGCTTGACGTGGTGCAGCTGGTTGGATGAGAGGCATTGAGAGAGAAGGAAGAATCCATCCTTGGATCGGCGATCCCATTCCTTGGTCGCTACTTCGCTCGCAGGCCTCTTCAATTCTCCATCCATCACTTCAAGCAGCCCATAATGGCTAAATAGGAGCTCCATCCTGAAGCTCCATGATGCCCAATCCTCCCCAGAGAACTTCTCTAGGTTGAATGCCTTCACATCATCCTTGGCTGGTGTTGAAACGGATGCAATTGGTGCAGATCCGCCTGCAACGCCTCTTCCTGCTTCCCCAGCGCCTCTCACGCCACCACTGCCACTAGGACCAGCTGGAGCAGAATCTTCAGCCTCCATATTGACCCAGGAACAGAGAAGAACCGTCTAGAGTCCACTTAGGGGTCGCAGATGCCCTTGAAACCGCCTAAGCAGAATCTGATGACTTCGAATCGCCTCTGTTCAAAACGCCGTCACGATCATCTCCGATAACATACGAGGCTGAAACTTGGAAAAACGTTAGCTTCAGTTGTCTGCTTTCCAACGGTATATTGCTTGATTTCATCAGAGGTGTATGCGCTACGCAGCGAACGAAAACGTAAGCTCGGCTGAAAACGTGTAGTTTTATTGATGCAAGGAAGAGGTTAGTACAACATTGCCTAGGGGACTCTTAAGGGGTTGGGACCATCCTGGGAACTCAGAGAAGGTTGAGTCCTAGGGGAGAAAGGCTAGAGAAGGATGGGAAACGTCCTAGCTAGGTCAGCAAAGCCAACCACACTTGGATGTTCAGAGCTGTACTCAAGGCTACCAATAGTGAGTCAAGCCGACCATGAGTCAGCTTGTCTTCCCACTTGCACCCTCTTGCAAGCTGCTTCCAGGAAGACCACACTTCTCAAAAGGAGGGTGGTAGAGTCCCACTTGACCACCTGTACTTCTTGTCTCATTCTCTGTCCCTGCACCATTGGCATGACAACAATGAAAGGGTGGCAAGGGAAATGCTGCCAACAGTGCACCATGACTACGGAACAGTAACTTTCGACAGCTGTCACGTGCTGCTCCGATGCTGGGTTGTCCTGAAACTCGGTGAACACCTGCAAAACATGGCAAAGGACTGCCACACCGAATTTCAGACCAATCAGAGCTTGGTAGATGAGTCAGCAGCCGAAATGGTGAACTCGGGTGTTACCAAAAAAGAGTAACACACACTTCCGGGATGCCATAAGTCTTGAAACTAAAAATGTTGCCATGCCTTGTAAACTGCTTCAAAAACTCTGAAATTTTGACGGTCTGAAAAACACATGTTGAAGCACCTCCCCACAAAATTCCAGAAGCTGAGAAGGCTTGTAGGCGGAATGGGAGTGCGATGACCGTGCCACTATAGTGCTTTGGCACAACACGTACTCAGACTCAGTAGAGGAGAGGGTGGCGCAACGAATCCTCTGGCTCGCCCAAGAGACAGCAGCACCTCTGAGCACGAAGACATAGCCACCAGTGCTGGTCCTGTTCTGCTTGTCCCCTGCATCATCAGCATCGGTGTAGCCCACCAGCTCCAAGGATTCCGGTCCACCACCAAACTCCAGCGCCACATCCTTGCTCCCCACCAAGTACGCCAAGCACCGGTCCAACTCCTTCTAGTGCTGATCACTCCGCACAGTCTGGCCCGACCCCAACTTACTGCAGGCGAACGAGATGTCGGGACGGGTGGCACAGGTCGCGAACTGCAAGGATCCCACCTTCTGCATGTACTCCTCCTCCTGGCGAGACTGCCATCCCACATCCTCGAAGGTCTGCACACTGAAAGGGTCAGAGGAAAGAGGGGTGCGAGGCACTCGCAGTGGCTGCTCCCTGTCAAAGAAGCGCCTATGGACCTTGTCCACATAGGCCCCCTGGTGCAGCCACAGCCTCCTCGTAGGCGTGTCCCGAACCAGCTGCAACCCCAGATACTTCTCCACAGGGCTAATCTCCCGCAGCTGAAAGGCACTCTGCAACAGGTCACGCAGCTGCCCTAGCATGCTCTGACTGTGTCTGGCAGCAAGCAAATCATCCACATACACCAGCAGCCAGCACATCTCCCCCTTAGCATCACTCTTGAAGTAGAGAGCCTCATCCACTTGGCTCTTCTTCCATCCAGCCTCAAGCAGCACCCCATCCAAGGCCTCATACCACAACATCGGGCTCTGCTTGAGCCCATACAGACTCTTCACCAACTTACAGACACGAGGACCCCCATCCTCGTAGTAGCTCGGCTGCTCCATATAAAGGTCTCGGTCCAGCACGCCATGGAGGAACGCGTTCTTCACATCCAGCTGCATCAGGTTTAAATCGAGTGCAGCTGCGATCGCCAGAAGCACACGCGCCGTCACATAGCTTCCCACAGGGGCGTACGTCTCTTCATAGTCCACCCCTGCCACCTGCGTGAACCCCTTCACCACCAGCCTCGCCTTCTCACGCTCCACTATTCCATCCGGTCGGAACTTGGTGTTCAAAATCCAGCGGTTCTTCATCACATTCACCCCTGGAGGACGCGGAACCAACTCCCACGTCCCCTGCTCAATCAAGCTCCGCATCTCCTCGTCCATCGCCTCCTTCACCTTGTCGCCCTTCCAGCATCCCAAGGCCTCCTTCACTGTCATCTTAGCTATATCCCACTGCCTCTCAGGGTCGGCCACCACATCTGGGTCCAGGTCCGTCCACTCCTCGTCCTCCTCCTCGTCATCCAAACCTGCTGGCTCAATCACTACTGCCCAAGCATAATTAACTGGCGGGACACCACGAGTGATGCGAGTGGAGCGACGCAGCGGCGGTGCAGTGATCGTCCCAGAAACCAGCACACGACCACCATCTCTAATTCCCCACATCTCCTGCTCCCTTGTCTACGGCTCCCCTGTCTGCTGCTCCCCAATCTGCTCCTCCCCTATCTGCTCCTCCCCTATCTGCTCCTCCCCAATCTTCTGCTCCCCTGTCTGCTGCTCCCCTGTCTCCTGTCTCGTCCTGCAGCTGCTTAGTCACAAGTCGCTGCCCTTCGGTGATCATCACAGACGGCGGCACCACTGTCCCCCCCTCACCAACGGGCGGCGCCGTGGAAGACAAAGAGGAGGGTGGGGCAGGTGCGGGAAGGATGGAGGGTGGAAGAGGAGAGGGAATAACAGGAGGAGGAGGGGTAGCCAAGGGGGGTGAGGATGGAGGAGGCGCGGTAGGAGGAACCACATGAAGGTACACTGTAGGAGGTGGGGTGGGGACTGAGGTAGGGACATAGGGCATAGCAGGAGGTGCGACCACTTCCTCCTCCTCCACCTCCTCCTCAAGAGTGCCTGAGAAGAGTGAAGGAAGGGGCGCATAGGGCATCGGACCGCCCCCATGCTCCTGCTGATGCCAAGCCTTCCATCCTGCCAAGGACATGGTCTCATAGAAAACTGCTTCCACGGTGGTGATGAGGCAGTTGGACTCCAGGTCCAGCACTTGCCAGCCCTTGCTCACTGCTGACACCCCCAAGTGCAACCCCCAGCGAGCCTTAGGCGCAAGCTTCCCCCCACGGTGCGACTGCGGCACCATATACTGCAGCATGCAGCCCCAAACACGCACCATACTGACATCGGGTTTGCGTCGGAAGGCGAGCTCGTACAGCGTCACACCAGAGGGCAGCGAGGCGTGCTCCACGCGGTTGCGCACCCAGACGGCCTGTGACAGCGCCATGTGCCACCAGTGATGCTGCACACCCATGTGCAGCAGCATCGTCCGCACTGCCTCCACAATGCTGCGCATCTCCCTCTCAGCCATCCCGTTCTGCTCTGGCGTGTATGGGCACGTGAGGTCGTGGATGGGCACGTGAGGTCGTGGATGATCCCCTTCTCGTCAAGGAAGAGCGTGAAGTCATGTCCCAGGAACTCGCCAACCCGATCAGTGCGCAGCGCCTTCACTGTGGTCTTACACTGCCGCTCTGCCATCGGGAGCCACTTCTGGAATGCCGCCAGTGCATCACTCTTCTTGGCCAAAGGGTAGGCCCAGACGTACCGCGTCTTGCAATCCTTCAGCACCAAAAAGTAGCGGCTGCCGTCCTTAGCTGCTTCACGAAAAGGGCCACACGAGTCAGCATGCACCACTCCAAGCAGCTCATCCTCCTCCTCTCCCACAGAAGGAAAAGTATGACGGGTGATTTTTCCCCCAACACAAGAGACGCATGGCATGCCTGACTTGCCCCCCTTCTCCAACTCCAAGCCCATCACTGACCCATGAGTGTTAGAATGTGAGCGAATGAATGACTGAACTAGAAAGCAGGTGGGTACAAGTAGGAAACCTCAAAGTGTTGTACCCTATATGAACTACCCCACTACAGCCTAGATAGACTATAGCATATAAGTTTGACACACCCCCATAGGCAAAGTGGGGGAGAACAAGAGGTCACAAGACCAGTCAAGAAAAGCAAAGCAAGCTCAGGGTGGATCACAAAGTCACCACTCATTCTGAGCACAAGCAAATGGCCACAAGGCCAGTTCACATGCAGAGTTATATATAGGAGAACAAACAATGCAATGAACACAACCTAGCAAGTGTAAGCATGCAGATATATGTGTAGAGAGTACAGTACAAGAAAAGTCAGGAAGTAAGCAAGTGAGGCACAGTAGGCACAAGGCCTAGAACAGTACAGAAACGCTGATGATCACAAGGCTGAAGTGCCTTGGTGAAAACATCAGCAGTGTTGGCCTGAGAGGCCACGTAAGCAAGACGAAGCTGACCACGCTGCTGCAACTCTCGAGCAAGGAAGTAGCGCAGAGCAATGTGCTTCGTTCTGTGCTCCAGTCTGTGCTCCTGACACAAGGCAAGCATGGCCTTGTTGTCGACGTACAGAACTGGAGGAGAACGAGGCGCGTCTCCCAAGTCGGTCAGCAGGTAGGTGAGCCAGCGTAACTCCTGTGCAGCCATGGCCCCAGCGTAGATCTCAGCCTCACAACTGGAGCTGAGAACAGAAGAAGAGCGGGTAGACCGCCAAGAGACAGAACCGGAACCAAGACTGAAGGTGTAACCCTGTGACGACCGCTGCGTAGCCAAGTCGTCAACCCAGGAAGCGTCTGCGTGACCAGTGAGGACAACTCAAGCCCGTCCTCCAAGCACGAGCCCCATGCCTTACGTACTGCACAGGTAGCGCAACACCCTCTTCGCAGCATCCCAGTGCACCTTTCGGTGTCGACCGGGAGCCACGTAGCGAGCCAGAAGGCTGAGAGGGTATGCGAGGTCAGGTTGTGTGCAAGTCATCAGGTATATGAGGCAGCCCACAAGCTCTGGATACGGGCCACTCGGCTCTACGGACTCGTCTGAAGGTGGAGCTGAGAGCGAGTGACCGGTAGGCAGAGGAGTGGACTGTGGCGAGGAGTACGTGAAGCCGAAGCGCTGAAGGACCTGCTGCACCATGTGTGACTGAGTCAAGGTAATGGTGCGCTGTGCTCTGTCCCGGATGATCCGGAAGCCAAGATAGCTTGTCAGTTCACCCAGGTCTGTGCACGTGTGTCTCTTCTGCAGCTCGGACTTCACGTGGGCGAGTGCCTCAGTGACAGCAGTAGCAAAGACGAGGTCGTCTACGTACACGAGAACGTAGAACGGCGGCAGAGTGGTGTCAGTATGTAAAAACAGCGACGGGTCAGCAGTGGAAGGAGCAAAACCAAGAGTAGCAAGAGTCGTCCTCAGTGTGTCGTGCCACTCACGGGGTGCCTGGCGGAGACCGTAGACTGGCCGCCGGAGGCTCCACTGGGTACCAGCATGAAACGACCCAGTGAAACCAGGTGGGCGGCGCAGCCAGATCTCCTCGTGCAGGCTGTCCTGTAGGAAGGCTGTGCTGAAGTCAAGCGAGTGGAGCTCGTAGTCACGGTGAGCGGCGAGGTGCAGCAGTACCCGAAGAGTGGTCATCTTTGGGGTAGGTGAGAAGGTCTTAAAGAAGTCAACTCCCTGTCGCTGACTGAAGCCACGTGCAACGTAACGCGCCTTGAAGACAGGCGGAGAACCCGGTGGCCGCTTCACCCTGAAGATCCACATGCCACTGACGATGTTCGCCCCAGGTGGGGGAACCTCGTCGACGTAGGTGCCTGTGGACTTCCAGGAAGCCATCTCGGCGTCCATGGCTGCCTGCCACTGAGAGGAGTAGGGACCCTCTATCGCCTCTGCGTAAGAGCGCGGGGTCGGGATGTCTGGTGCATCCGGGTCTCCCTCAGGGGCAAGCAGCATGGACACGAGATGAGGTACAGCAGCGGCAAAGCACTCAAACTCCTCCTTTCTGTCCTCAAGAACGTCCGTGCCAAGAGCACACTCACCCCCAACGGACGGAGGACAGACAGACGCAGACGCAGACTCAGCAACAAGACTAGTGGCGTAGTCTAGGCGACAGGCGGCAGCAAAGTCAACAAGCTCAGCAACGAGAGCAGACGCAGCAGTGGACTCAAACAAAGGGTCAGTGCAGGGCAGTGCGGCTCAGTAGGGCGGCGCGGCTCGGTAGGGCGGCGCAACTCAGCAGGCGGCGCGGCTCGCCTGGGCGGCGCGGCTCGGCTGGGCGGCGTGTTTCGGCTATTGGCGGCGTGGCGCAGGAGGGTGGCGCGGGTGCTTACCACGGGCGGGTGCAGGGCCGGGCCGTGACAGCAGGGGCTGCGCCTGTAGGGGTGGCGACGGCAGGGGGCCGCGACAGCAGTGGGGCCGCGTCAGCAGGGGCCGCGCCAGCAGGGGCCGCGCCAGTAGGGGCCGCGTCAGCAGGGGGCCGCATCGGCAGGGGGGCGCGTAAGCAGGGCCGGGCCGTCAGTAGGGGCCGCTTCAGCAGGGGCCGCGTCAGCTGGGGCCGCGTCAGCAGGGGCCGCGCCAGCAGGGGGCCGCGTCAGTAGGGGCCGCGCCAGCAGGGGGCCGCGTCAGCAGGGGGCCGCGTCAGCAGGGCCGGGCTGTCAGCAGGGGCCGCGCCAGCAGGGGGCCGCGTCAGCAGGGGGCCGCGTCAGCAGGGCCGGGCCGTCAGCAGGGGCCACGCCAGCAGGGGGTCGCATCAGCAGGGGCCTCGTCAGCTGGGGGGGGGGACGTGTCAGCAGGGGGCCGCGTCAGCAGGGCCGGGCCATCAGCAGGGGCCGCGCCAGCAGGGGGCCGCGTTAGCAGGGCCGGGCCGTCAGCAGGGGCCACGCCAGCAGGGGCCGCGTCAGCAGGGGGGGCCGCGCCAGCAAGGGCCGCGACGGGCTAGGGCCGCGACAGTAGTAGGGGCCGCGTCGGCAGTAGGGGCTGCGACAGCAGGTGGGGTCGCGACGGCAGTAGGGGTCGCGACTAGCAGGGGCCGTGAAGGGCGACAAAGGGGGCCACGACGGGCAGGGCGCGATGCGCGCTTCGGGCAGGGCAGGAAAAAAAAAATGTGGTGGGCCCTTAAAAAAAAACGTTCCCACTAGGGAACCTGCTCAGAATACCATGTTAGAATGTGAGCGAATGAATGACTGAACTTGAAAGCAGGTGGGTACAAGTAGGAAACTTAAAAGTGTTGTACCCTAAATAAACTACCCTACTACAGCCTAGATAGACTATAGCATATAAGTTTGACAATGAGCTGCAGTACGCTCTATGGCGTCAACACCGACGTGTGTGAGGCGCGCATGCCACGTGTCCACCTTAGATCGCACGCCCGTCGCCAAAGTGCGCAGGGCCACCGTTTCACCCTCCTGCTGCTGCGTTGAGCATGGCTGGAAGTTTGTGCAGAGGACACGTCCCTTGAACTCCGCACGACCAAGGAGCGACCCATCTGGCGCGCGCAGCAGAGTCACGTCCCCGGCATCCAGCAGCTGCACGCCACTATCATGCAGCTGCCCAGCAGAAAGAAGACTCGCCTGCACTCCAAGTACGTACAGCACGTCCGGCACCAAGACACGCCTGCCCCCGTCTCCAAGGAGAGCGACTGTGCCTCGCCCCTGCACCTCCTGAGGAGCGCCGTTGAAGCCGATAACATGTTTGATACCGCTGCCACTGCTCATCTCCACAAAGGCAGAGCGATCTCCCATAAGATGGTGGGAGCATCCGCTATCAAGTAGCACGACACTCGGGTTCGCCTTTACAGCAGCTGCAACAGCCTGTAAGCCCTCCCCGGCCTCAGGCTCCAGCATGACGGGAGGAGGATGCTCTATAACGGGCTTCACCATCGCACATGATGACTGCCCGCTCCCCTTAGAACCATCACCCCCCTTTCCACTCGCGCTGCTGCCTCTAGAACCCTCTCCACCCTTGTCTGCCTCTTTATCCGCCCGCTGCCGACAGTACTTAGCGATATGACCCGGCTGCCCACACACGTAGCAATTCCCCTTGAACCCTCCTTTCCCCCACTTTGACTGGCCATCCTTAGCCCCTTTCCACTTCTCCCCTCCCTCACTAACCCCACCCCCATGCTTAGGCTGCTGCTGCTGTGCCATAGTGGGAGAGGAAGGGGATGCAGTCTGCTGAAAATAGGGCTTACCCTTCTTGGTAAACACTTGGTTCGCCTGGGAAAGAAATTGGTCCTTCCGTCCCTCCGCTGCCAACGTACACTCTTCCTTGATAATGTAGCTAGCGAGGGTGTCCTCGTCCAGCTCCTTGCGCACCTGCGGCAATTT